GGGACAGAGTTACACAAGTGTCCCTATAGGATCAGGGAAAGCCTCCTCCGCTTCCGGTGGACGAAATGAGCAAGGTGCGCATGCGCTGTCTCCTTTCTGAAGGCACCGCCCACACGTTCCTTTAGGCAACACCCCTCGTCTCTGGTCTCTTGCTTTAGCCCCGCCCCGCTCCGGGCCACGCCTACGTTAGAATTTAATCACTGTAAGCCCGCCCATTGCCTAACAGCCTTTCCTCTGTGCTTCCACCAAATTCCTCTGTTCTTTCTTTCCCTAAGCCCAAACCCTTCCCCATAAATCAAAAAACAAACAAACAAGCTCTGCTATTGAGTCGATTCCGACTCACAGCGACCCTATAGGGCAGATAGAATTGCCCCCGTGGGTTTCCAAGGCTAACTTCTTGCAAGAGTAGAAAGCCTCGTTCTTCTCCTGCAGAGCGGCTGGTAGTTTCAAATGGCTGACCTTGCTGTTAGCGGCCCAACGAGTAGCCACTAAACAACCAGGGCTCCACTTTCCTATGCTGTTGTTTTAGTCGGTTGCGATCCTATGCACAACAGAACGAAACACTGCACAGTCCTGCGCCGGCCTCACAATGCCCTTCTCCAGGGACGACTCTCATGACAATATCCCATAGTTTGTAAGGCTTGTCTTCTCATCCTTGTCTCTAAGGAGCATTCTGGCCTTATTTCTTGCAACACAGATCTGTTTGTCCTTTTAGCAGTCCATGGTATTTTCAATACTATTCTCCAGCCACCACAATTCAAAAGCATGGATTCTTCTTCGGTCTTCCTTATCAGCCATTCAAACCTATGGGCTGTGGCTTTTTAAAGATGTACAGCCTCGGAGATCCACAGGGACAGTTTTGTTCTGTCCTTTAGGGTCTCTGTGAATTGGGATGGACTCATAGACAATTCGTTAAAGCCCTACCTCTCAAGTTTCCCGTGGCACCATGCTCCCCGAGTTTAAGCACCACCCCTCCTCCCTAGAGCATTTAAACTCCAACCTTTTCTTAATGTGTGAGACAGTTCTGACTCATCCCTATACTTTTGCTGTAATTTAGGTGCCCTCTGGTTTGTACCTAACTCATAGCGACCCTATATACATCAAAACACTGCCCCATTCTCACAATTGTCCTATTTGAGCTCATTTCACGCCCCTCCTGCATGCATGGCACTCAGTTACCTC